CGTAACGGAATCAAAACTATATCACGCGTTTTTTGATCCGAATTTTACGCGCGCATTACGAGACGAGTCATCGGCTTAAAGATAGATTTTATGTCCATTTCTATCAATTTAGATAAATTTTTTAATCTCGATTTAATTTACTTTTTTCTAATTTTAGAACTAAACAAAAAAGATAAAAAGTAAATGCTGTTAAAAATTTGTAATATCAAATTATATCTCATTTGACTTATTTTAAATTAGATTTTTGTAGGTATCACTGCTTCTATTCAATGTGTCGTTAATTTAAGTAAAAGAATGGATTTGAACAAATTTAATTGAAAAAAAATATATTAAATTTAACTTAAATTTAGTTTGTTATTCACTAAGTGCATACGTTAATATGGACGTAGTTTACTTTGAAACTAACCACGGAAATGGATTAATTTACATTTTAAACACAGAGAAGTTAAAAATAACAAAATATTATTTAACTCAAGGGATTGAATTATTGTTGCTACTTTGATATCTAATAGTGGATATTAATCTACATTAATAATAATGAATATTAATTAAAAGCACAGTTCAAACCTGAATTATGCATTGTTAGAAATCAGTTAAGATAATCCCTAAAGTTAAATAATATTTTGTCATTTTTAACTAGATGTGTGTCAAAATGTAAATCAATCAATTCATTTCTGTGGTTGAATTGCTTAGTTTCAAAATGAATAACATCCATGTTAATGTATATTCTTAATAAATAATAAACTAAATTTGAATTAAATTTAATCAAATTTTAGACATTTTTCGAGTTAAATTATTCAACTCCGTTTTAATTAAATATACGACATATTGAATAAGAGCAGTGCATAGTGATTTGCAGAAATGATTAAGAATAATTCAAATTGGATATAATTTGACGTTATAAATTCATTAGTGCGGGACAGTCTAATTTTGAGATCTCGATCCTGCTTGTCGAGCGGAACGGTTCCGGTTTTCCGATGATGTAAATCCATCCTAAAAGCGATAGAGGCGAGGAAATTCGTGGTGTTGCCCTCAGGTATTTCTGAGGAGCGCTTATCCGCTCCGTTTACTGCCGGGCGGTTTCGCTTGTGGCGGCGAAGTGCAGTCGCAGTGCGTAAACGCTAAAATAGAATAGCGCGCACGTCAAACAGCATTACGGGCCTTCTAATTTCTTGCCTAGCCCGGCTGATTTTCGGCGGTACGAGTGGCGGCGAGGCACGTTGTAACGCACAACGTACGCCGACGGAGGCGTAAAAAGGGAGGTAGGAGGGGGTCGTATCAAAGCGGATGTGTGCCTTTGAAGTGGTCGGTGCGTTAATTGCCGCGGAGTTTTCGATCGTTTCGCTTACTCGAGCCCGCCGGCTCGTGGCATTAATGGGACTCGAAGGAGGGGGAAAAATTACGAGAGAGACCCCATCGCGCCGGTTATAAATAAAGCCGGGGGCCCCCTCGAGCATTTCGCCGAGACTTCGCAATCCCCGTGCTCGTTGTGTATCCGCTGGTACCACTTGTCTCACTTATCATCCCGCGATATTCCCTATCGCTCAGCCGCATCTGGAAAAAGTTTCTCCCGACTATACGTTCGCGTCGTATTTACGCCACGCGTTCGTTGCTCATCTCCGCGAAGTCAAATAAGAAAGACGGGACTGCGGATATCCGCTTTGAGAAGGTGGAAAGGGTAAGGGAGAGGGAAGGAAAGACTACTAAACGCTAATATTCAAGAATTAACTTTATCTACGTTCAGCCATCGGTGTACAGAGATTAGCAGGAAATTGGTGGCTAATTGGCAGGATGGAGAATTGCATAAATTGATATTGGCTCTTATATACGTTCGTTTATCTTAACTAAAAATATTGAGAGATAATTATATATGTAAATTAAAATTATGCATAAGTTCTAACGCTTAACTTGATTAATGAGAACGTGTTCATGTATCACAAGTCGCAATGAATAAACTTATTCGATATAGTGGTAGGATTTTACACTTAAGATTTTTGCAGATATTAATATAGGCGTGTAAAGTTTATCTTGATGTCCGTACATTTTTCTTGGAAAAATTTATACAACACGCTGATCGATGACACGCGAGAAGGACCACCAGGGTTATCCGGAATTTACATTTAGTCTTAAAAAAAAAAAAGAAAGAATTTCGTTAATGTTCAATGTGTAGACTGTTTCTTTATGTTTCGAAGCGTTCGATAATTTTGGCACGTTTCAACGTTTCTCATTTCCATTTCGACGGGTTGCTCCCGTTAAAACATCGACAGACCGTCCAGCAAGCGCGGAAACAAGTGTAAAATGTTTTATTTTCCCAAAAACGTTTCAACTCTAAAATGGTTACGGCGAGCGCATCCTATCTTGGCACAGACCCAACAACACAACTTCATCGAGTTGAAGAAAACCCTTATACTTTCGTAATATCGACTAAAAATCACCGCAGCCGTCGAGTGCACATAACAGTATTTCTGCGCCAATGAAATTACTTAAATTTCACGAATATAAAGCCCAGTTTCCAGTTTACGGTCGTCCCGAGAAAGCACATGTGATAATTTGACCAGTTCATTGGCAAATACAGGGTTTCATATTGGCAATACTTTACCTTGAAAATAGTCCGGTGACCGACTTGTACTTGATCTTGAAATCATTCGGAAATAAATCGGAAATAACGCGAACACTACGTTCGGACGTATGAAGAGAATTTATTCCTGAATTCGTCGGGCAGAATTAATCCGGCTTTTACGGTGAACGCGTAATCGGATCTTTTCCTCGCGTGATCTAAATTGAATCGTTCTCTACAAAGCGTGAACGGAAGACAAATCAATCTTTTTGACGGGTCAATTTCGAAAACCCTACCTTTTTACGAAATAATAAATAATTGAAAACGTATGAAAAATTGTTGGGAAAATTTTTCGTGTGGAAAACAGTTAGGAAAATTTTTATTATATTTTAATAATTTTTGTAAGAGAAAAGATTTAATAATAAATGTTATCAAAGGTCTTTCTTTACCACTGAGAAGCTCTTCTTGTTTTTATAATATATAATATGCTCTTCTTGTAATATAATGTATTCAATTTTATTTTATTACTATTTATAAAAACGTGCATAGAAATCAGTATATCTTCATTGTAATTATTGTTAATATTTTTAAATTATTTTTAATAGTTTTTGCAAAGAAAAAGAATTTAACAATAAACGTCAGCAAAAAGTCTTTCTTTAATAGAAGATTTTCCTCCCTTTAAAACATATATTCTCTTTTTGAAATAATTTAATTTCATTATTTACTATGTTAAATGTTCTTAAATGTGTACAGTAATCAGCAATATTCTCATTGTATTTTAATTATTTTTATAATAATTTTTGCAAAGATTTGAATAATAAACATTAGCAAAAGTCTTTCCGTAATACTGAGAATTTCTCTGTTTTTATAACACTGTACACTTTTTTTATAATCACCGTAATTAGGTTTCTAGAAGGAGCAGAAAACATGCATCAGCGATGAGTCGCGAGCAGATATTTTCGTGCGCTTTCTCCGAAATTTTCCGCGAAGACACGTCACTATCCGTTCTGTCTTCACTTTATGAAGAAAGATGCTTCCGAATTGGATGATGAGAAGACTTTCGATAAAACTAATCATATCCGTGCTCCCTTTTCTTGACATTTTCAAAAAAAAAAAAAAAAAATGAAAATGAAAAGGAATGGCGAGAAATTTATGATGACTTTACTGCGACATCAAAACATAAAGACGAGAGACGAAATTGCGAGAGCGAGGTGCGCCATAAAGATTTTTCGCTCTTTCACGAACACTTTCCGAGAATATCGCAGTACAAATTTTGGTAACGCGTGAAGGACTTTTGTAAACATTTCAAAGCGTGCAATCTTGTACGGTTGCGATCGTTTTGTAATTTACTCGCGCGAATGACTACAGAACTGTACACGGAAAAAACGATTTTACTGAAACATCTAAAATTTAAACACAGACTCGAAACTAATTTTATCGAATCATCAAAGAATAATTGCAGGAAACTCAAGTATGAGCAATGATGTAAATACAATTTTTATATTCTAGCAATCAGCTTGAACGTCATAATTATTATACATAATTATTATACATAATTACATACATAATTATTTTAATAGTCTAATAACAAAATTATTTTTTTTTTATTTATATCTAGCTAAATTTTTAGATACCTCAGTGAAATCGTTCCTTCCATATAAAGTGACAATTTGAATGAAAATTCTTTTATTTTAGAATACCCAAGGGAAATCGTGAGATAAGATATTTTAAGAGCATCTCGCGCTGGCTTGTTCTTCGAAATGAAAACTCGCGGAGATGCGTAAGATCGACAAATCTGCGCGTGTCACCGAAACCGACAGTGTCACTCGAATATTTGTATATTCGAACAGCTAAGATTAGAAATTGCGATACGAACGTGAATAGAAATACGAGAAGAATGCGCGGGAGGACTATTGCCGTAGGAACAGCGGATTATTCAAAGTCCCGTCAACGTCGATCGCAACGTGATTCGGCGATCGAGGGATCGTCCATCAAGTGGCAAACTTTTCCGAAGAAAACCTTTATTCGTCGAATAACTTGGAGTAAATGTGAAGAAAGAGGAGACGTACAGAGCGCACCGCGAGAGGATTATACCACGTTTCTTTGGCGAGAAATGTGAGACTGCTAATGTTTCAGAAGATTAAATGCCAAAGATGAACAATAATTGCTACTTAAGAAGACAGTATTTATAGCAGTAAGGATAAGATTTAAAGTAATGTATAAGCCGTAAGAAGTATTTCACACAGTTTTCGATTGACCAAAAGGATATCGACCAAAGATACATATATAGATTTACCAAAGATACCAGAGTGATTACTAAAAATTATTTTATATGCGATGCATATAAAATATATACAATACATATATTTTTAAAAAAGCGAATAATTATACATATATTTTTGACGATCAAAGAAAGATATTTTCTTGAAAATCAGAAAGGAACCGCAAGGACAATAATTGAAGAAAATGAAGTAAGTGATAAAGTGAAATAGATCTCTTTTCGAAAAGTTTTACGCAAGTTGGGAAATATAGGCTAAATAAAAAAATGTACAGTTAACATTTTTTAATGATCCATTTTTAAAGATTCGTGTACGTTTTCGGTATTTTTTTCCTTCAAGTTATGAATTCGTGTCGTGCTCGAAAGTGAAAAAAAGGCATGGACGAAAGGCCAAACTTTAACGGGGCTAAAAAACGGTCTCGAAATCGGGAACAGTGAAAAATGTAGGTAAAGAACGATAAAGCGACGTGGAAGAACGTGGAGTCCTGCGGACGTTATTCTGGGGAATCGCCGTGGTCCGGCGTAGCCTCTGATCTCTTATCATAGTATCGTTCTAGTACCAAGATGCTGGACATATTTCGTGGTCTGAAGAGTCTCATAAAAATCTCGCACATCCATATCGACAGCGCCGTCTTCCGCTTGCATTACAGCCTGACTGTGATCCTGCTGATAGCGTTCTCCCTGATTGTCACAACCCGTCAGTACGTCGGCAATCCCATCGATTGTATACATAGCAAGGACCTGCCCGAAGATGTTCTGAACACTTACTGCTGGATACACAGCACTTACACGATCACCGCGGCGTACCGAAAAAGAGAAGGTTTGGAGGTACCCTTTCCCGGCGTCGATAATTCCAAATCGTATTCCGAAACTGAGCGAAAGGAGTACAAATACTATCAGTGGGTCTGCTTCATGCTGTTTCTGCAGGTAATCGATTGATCATTCATATATGGTATTCTTTTTTTGCATGAAGAGAGTGTTCTCGATCTCGACGATCTCTTTTATATATTCGACGAATTTAATTATGCACGACGAATTCAGATACATTGATTTGATTTAGCAAAGTAGAAATTTAAGCGCAAAGCAGAGAAAAGATAGTTGTTGAATATATGTGTAAATATGTGTAAATGTGAGTAACGTTAACAAATAATATTTTAGATGACTGAATAATACAGACAGACTGTACAAGTATAATATTTTATAGATGATTGAATAATAAACATAATCAAGTAAAATATTTTGATGGCTAAATAATATCTAATATTAACTATTAAATAAAATTTTGAATAGCTAAATAGCATCATTAATAAATAAAACGTTGGATAGTTGAATAATAATAACAAAGGTGCCTATTGCGAAAGTGTGACTAATATGATATATACTGTAACTGTTTTTGCAAGTGCGGCTATCGAAACATTGCCTGTACGCAAAATTGGCCGCGGATACGTGGAACATATGTAATTCAAAGATTCCATCAAAATTTATATGCGTCTATTTAACGCCAAATGTAATAGCCCGATCCTAACTCACGTCTTTCGTGAACGCGCACCGTCGCGTCGATTAGACAAGTGAAACATCAAGCACGTTTAGCGTTGAATGTGTGGTTTGCATACGAGCCATAAAACGTACCGGTGCTTTTAGCGTTGCACTCCTAAGCATTACTCATCCATCAATCTTTCTGCTTGGGCTCGGACTCGAGCGACCTGCATGTTGCTCGTGAAGGCCTATCATCTAATCCATTGCCAAGAAAGAAACCTTAAGTATAACAATGCACTAAACTGACTTCGTCATTGAAAGTTGTTCGCGTGGTCGCACAATGACGAAGTTTAATGCATTGTTATACTTAAGGTTTCCTTCTTGGCAGTGATTAACAAACACTCTATCGATAGATTAATTGCCGAACAAAGATGATTACGATCAAAAGTGCTCGGACGATCGTGCTGTTTCACCCTTTCAGTTCTAGAAAATTAAAACCGTGTAACGCATCATTAAAAAAAATCTGATAATAAATATATTTTGTCTAGCATATTGGTGCAATATTTAGTAAATATTATCAAACATAATAATGGTAACCAATCGTTTGGTAATAATTATAAAAGTAAAATAAGATTTTGAAAACATTAACATACGATTGAAATAATTTCACTAAACTTTATAGTAACTATCATCTAGACTTAATTATTGTTAAATTTTTTTCAGTAGGTGCATTGCAATGACATGCAATATAACATTAATAATAAATTATATAACGTACGTAAGATATAGGATTACTAAGGTTACTTAAAGATATAAGTAAATGAGCTTTGATACGATAATGACATCAAGTAAATTATTCGGAAGAAATACAATTGTCGACATGTATCACGATAATACAATGCATTGACAAATGATTGACGTCATATATTATACAACGTTGTGCATTACAAATTATGCGACTTATATAACTTAAAAATCTAAATAGATTTGACGTTGCAGTTAAATACGTAAATTTAAAAGAAATGATTATCACCATAACACGATAATACCATCGCACTGTTAAAAAAGGAAAAACATTTTTAATGCGAAATTGAGTGTCAAACACTTGCTATCATTTATCACGGCTGATTATTTCAGTTAGCTTGAAAGAAATAGGAAGATCGTAATAGAAAGTTTAGACGATACGGGTTAATGGCGTGGCGCGAACACCTGAAATAGCGATCCGTAGTATTTTCTTTGTGCTCTCGCACGTTTCTTTCATGCTACTCGCATTGATGTCTCAAAATAAACTCAGTCGACGACAGCCTATCCCTCTACGAAAGTTCTCTTTCTATTTCCTCGTCTCCCTTCACCGTCTTTTTTCGCCCGCCGTTTCAAAGCAAACTACACAGTTTACAGCGAGTAGTCGCCGCTTTTTTACTGATCTATTCCCTTTCGCTATATGAATCTTCTCACACATTTCTATAATTATCGTTGGGCTAATTTCGTCGTTTGAACAATGAATTCTTTTCCTCCTGTTTGTGTATTTAGTTCGCCCTTTGTGATTTAATCAATTACAATGTGTTATTTTAACATGATTTTCGAGATTAACTTGACTTTTATTCATTAAAGAAGATTCTTTTAAATTGTAAATTATATAAAAAAAAATTATATTGAAAAATATTAAAAATATCAAGAGATAAATTACACAAAGAAATAAGTATATTTTTCTTATTGGAAATACCAGAAGAATTAACGTTCTCTTTTCAGTTTCCCCGGTTGGATAATCGTTAATGACTCGAAGATTATTTGAAATCTAGGGACTGAAAGAGCCGATAAAAAGGGTGGTTTAACGAGCGCCCCATCGACAGATTAATCCCGGTTCTTAATCAGAGCACGGTTATCTTATCTTGACTTGATCGTCTTTTTATCGCCTCCTATTTTTTCCAGTGGAGAAGGGAGGTAAGGAGGTGACGATAAGTACAGCTTCGTAAGTGTCCATTTTGGTTCGTCGGAATGTTCTTTTACGCGTGGTAATGGTGCGTTTAATTTCGTTGCCCGGAATATGTGCGCGCCGCACTCGTAACACGGTCGATTAAGCATGTTTTCAATAATGGAGATCGTCGAATCACCTTGTACTTCCCGTACGCGATACAATTAGAACGATGAGCTTACAGCATCGAATCTTACTAACAATAATATAATCGTCGTGTCATACCTAACGGGAAAAGTGAAAGGATTACAAGAAACAAATCTCGCATCTCGAGCCATTAATAATTATCCATTATTAATTATTTTATTTGGATATTTCTTTCTTAGTTTTTGAATAAAAATAGATTTCTCGCCTAAATTATCTCGCACGAATTCAATGATACGCACGTAAAATTTTCTTCAAATATCCATCTTCTATTATAAACGTTTACAATGTCAATCAATGTACCTATGCAGTACATCAAAATTTTCTTCCGTCTTAATTTTGACGTCATCAGCATAATATATACAAATGATGCGTTACTGAGCTCCATTAATATTCATAGGTGATTTCGGATACATATAACCTTGGATACATAGAATCTTGTTATAATATTAGATCTCATTAGCTCGTTTCAAATTTTACAAATGATAAAATCGAAAGTCATCTATTGTTTTTTTCGGTGAAACTATTTATTTATATATATATATATCATATCAAACAGTATATAGATTACGGATAATACAGTTTCATCGATCAGCCTTTGATTGATCATGCTAACCCAGACGTTTGTAAGATAATATCAGTTATGTGTATCGAGGTCAAGGGATGCCTCTCAAGTCCGGTCAGTCTTCTGACGGCTTGTACTCGAGACTTACGTGCGTTTCTTTTCTAATTTCATTTATCGTCTTTAATTTTTCCTTCGCAATTGTTCTGTCCCGTCAAAACATTGATTTAAATTCACAAAACAAAGTGGATAGGATTGTGCATTAAAGTGTTAACTACGACAGTGGAAGAAAAAGTGTACGAATAGTAGAATGTACGAGAAACAGTTTTCTATTAAAAATTGTTAATTCAAACAGTGAATAAATAGTGTTCGTCCGTGTGTTGTGATTTTGTGTTATTAAAGCAACACTACTTTGCAATTCCTTACATGGAAGGCATTTTTAATAATAGAAGTTATAAATGAAAGTGTAGGGGAGATAATTGTATTTTTATCAATTTTTTTCATTGATATAATTACGAAGAAGGGAAGAAATCGACATGTTTCGCATACGAGGGAGAGTCAGCATTAGAATTCAAAGAGAGTTTATCATTGTATTCCAAAATGGAAGACAAAAAGATAAAGAGGGGAATGAAGTGACAAGAATAAACGAAGGGAGAAAAGCAAATTAAAGGGAAGTCAGAAAAGCAAACAGTAGTAACGATGTAACTTTTACGACGGTTTATATATCCACAAAATGCATACTGTGTATCCTCCACCTTCGGTTCAATCTCAAGACTATAGAGGGTACGAAGAGATCGTGGGTGGTCTACTTTTACAATTACAATTGTATTCTTGTAAGGATTATTCGTTATCTATTGTTGACATTTTAATTAAAGTAATAATCGCGATCTTTTTTACTTATTTCATAGTGAAACGGAAGTTCGAATCCGACAAATAAATTAAAATCGACAACAAAAAAAGTGATAAATCAATGTAAAGATCATACTTTCACTCGATATTGCTATCTTGAAGTATTAAATTATTTTCAAAAGAAAATACTGAAAGTGATTTAATTTCGTGCTCATCGTGCAGTGTTCAAAGGACTTCCAGTAGGACTAATTGTAAGTGTAAAAACAGTCGTTTCGCTGGTGGAAAAAAACAACGAAGAGAACGAAGGACGTGGTGACGTCGCGAAAGAGATTGCCGGGCGACTCGAGCAAAGTCACTCCCCGATCTCTATTTAACATGCCGCTAATGCTCAAAATGATCGATCTGTTCGGCTCGATTCGATCGCTTTTCAAGGTGCACAGGATCGCCGAAGACTCGATGATATTTCGATTGCATTATCGTGCTACGGTGGCAGTGCTGCTAGCCGGTTGCCTCACCCTCGCTTGCAAAAGTATCTCCGGCTCGCCGATACATTGCGAAGCCACCGCGGCCGTGGACAAGGCCGTGCTGGAGACCTTCTGCTGGCTTCACACCACGTACAGTATGGTGCGTGCATTCAACATGAGCATCGGTCAGGCCGTGCCTTACCCTGGGGTGTCAAATACCAAGGGCGAAGGCGGGCACGGCCACGCACCTCACCCGTTGGTCAAGCAGCATAAATACTATCAGTGGGTTATCTTCTTCTTGCTACTGCAAGTAAGAAGCGACGGCCTCTTTTTTGCAATCGATTTTTCTTATCGATTTTTTTGTTTCTTCATACACATCTCTTTATCTCTTTCTTTATTATTTTATTTTTATATTTTATCTTATACCTTTGTTACATTTCGTCTAATTAATATATTTTGTTTTATAATCGTACTCGTCTCTACAGTAAATATTAGGTCATTTAAAAAGTATCCGCGGTTTTTTGTTCAATTTTTGAATGAAAAAACCGCGGATACTTTTTAAATGACTCAATATATCAATGATTGAATTAAAGAATATTGAGAATTTTCGTAATAAATATTATTGTATTTTCCATTTATCTTTATGTGTGAAATATTATTCTTGTTGCGAGCTACGGTATTTTTTATACGGTATTTTTCAATTGCAACGTAAATTCTCTGATCTTTAATTTTATGTGAAAAAGCAAAAAGTTATTTATAGTTAATACAAACATACGAAGACGATCAAATGTTCATATCTAAATTAAGATAGTTCAGAAATTGCAGGTCCTGAATCAGTATCGATACAGTATACGATACAGTATCGCAAATGCGTGTGTATTCGTTTATCCGTGATTGATAATCCTTGTTCATAACGTCAATACATAAATACAGGTTACAGATAGTTCTTCCTTTAAAATGCATATGTACCTTCGATGCTATCTTTGATCGTACCTCCGCCTCCCATACTTTAAACATTACTCGTCTTCGCGCACGTACAATATCGTTCTTTTTCTCAAGTTACTATTCTCTATTTATACGTCCAATGTTCCTACAACTCTCTCGCTCTTTGATTAATCGCGCATCCGCCTTTTATTTTGCAATTGATTGCTGCGTATCTAATGTGTTTTCTAGACAACGTTTGACATGAAACATGTATAATGTCGCGTATCTCTAATAAATTGACAAAACGCATCACTAATACATAATCACATATGATTAACGTTTAATAAAATTGAAAATACAACGTAGAAAACATGTTTTTTGAAAACTACTGTTTGTAAAGAGAAAGGAGAAAGTTTTTTATAATTATTTTTTCACAAGTAAATCATTTTCGATAATAATTAAATAAACAACATGTAATATAATTTTAATAAGAACGTAATTTTACTAAATCGTTTAAAATAAAATAATTTTTTCTAATAACAGTTTATACATTTTTTTGTATTTATATATATATATATATATATATATATATATACGTAAATAAAAATATTTCTATTTAACAGCTTCAAAATTAACTACATTTTACATTACGTTTATTTTTGCACGTGTTAAAAGTACACTTCTTTGTCCGCTCTTCTTCCTTCTTCGTCTCGCTTTTCTTAAAGCTTCAAAGCTCTTTCGCCTTGTTTAGCTAAATTTATTCGGGGCTAACGTGACATATAGATGCTACGCATCGGCCGGGGATCGTGGCGAAACATGTACGCGGTTCCTTCTTTTCATATCCGAATATTTAAAGTCTATTTTCAATGAATATTTAAGTTAAAATTTTTCGAAAACAAAGCTTCGTATAAAAAATTTTATTGTATATTTTCGACTTATTTTTTCATGTACAATAGAATCACTTTTTCTTCAGTTTTACCATCAGTTACGAAACTGATTATATAAAATTAAGATTAAATTAGATTGCAATCTATTTCATAAATTTATCCAATTTTACGTTTTATTACACGTTTAATTCTGAATTACAGTTATTAGACTTCCATTGTATAAGACGGTGAATGCTTTGAAAGATATCTCGAAACTACTGTTTCACCCTCTGCAAGACCAGTTCCAAGTTAAAAAAACAAAGAATGTATCTTATAGAATACGCATTTAAGTTCAAATTTAATTTATTTGTTTTTATAATATATAATATAGATATTGTATAATTTATTAAATATCTGCGGAGTACAAAATTAATTGTGTTACTTTATTTTATTTTGTTTTGTTATCTAAAGAGTAAACAACAAATGTGTAATCGATATGTTTAAATCTATTTACATATCTAAAGGAATTTATGCTCGTCTACAAATTTGAACATTGAGAGATATAAAAGAGTTACAAAGAGAGATATAAATGTCCTTTCAGCAGGGCAGCAAATATGATCGCGCTCTCGATCCTGGTTGGCAAGGGAAGAGAGAAGAAGAGAGGGACACAGATCTATTTTCGGTCACGCATTTTCCTTTTCTCTTTACAACGCAGGCGTTCTCTCGCGATAATGCTAAAAGCTGCAAATCGTACAATCGGTTTGACATGCGCGTTTATTTTACGTTTCTTCATAATTCTTGTCAAGAGCGAGGTCAGACCACCCATTTTGAAGAATCCTGTCACAGATATGTAAACCATGCACGCTAAGATCATACGAGTTACATAACATTCATTACATTTTCACACCGTCTACATAATTTTTTTTAAATTAATGTTTACGAGAAAAAAATCTAATTTACTGCCAATTTTAGTTGCTTAGCGACTTTTCCGGTTTATACATTACAGATACTATAATACATAAATTATTAAAGTATTCATTTAAAAGCTTAGCGTTTTTCAAGAGTTTCAAAAAATTTTATTTCACAGAAAGATTTTACTGAATCGTACCTTTATACAGATTTTATACAGAATTCATGAAATTTGCGCGATATCTGTGTATTACAGGATTATTATTGTACATGTACTCCGCTCTAAGATTCTACCGTCATCTTGCGTATTTGTCTCCAAGCCAAAATAATAAGTCGTTTCTGCATTTCTTAGAAACAATGTGACTCGTTGGATAAAAGCGTACATTTTGGGAAACCCATTAGGTTCCGACGCACGTCTTAAGCACGTACTTTCATTAACAATCATCCGAGCCTTTCGTAAATTGCAATTTAGCTCAAATTTTCTGAACACTCGCCAAGACGTCGTAAGAGGGTAACGCGCGACGAACGTACGTATCTATATTCGATCGTGTACTACGGCAAGCACGACCCGAGGCCCCTGGCGATAAGCCAGAAAGCTTTATATACCGTGAGAAAGGGTTTACTCCCACATCGTGGTCTCGATAAGTGCATTGACATCGCTTCGGAAATTCTAATGTGAGATAAGGTTGCCTCGATTCAATTAGCTCAGATTATCGCTCTAAGCGTAACTATACTTATACACCTCTGCCATTCATCTTTCTAAGATACTATCTATTTTATTTCAGTATTCTAAGATATTATCGAATAAAAATATTATAGGAAGTTAATAAAACATTACGATAGATTGCGAGATAAGACTTGATAATGGATTCTATTTGAATTTTCGAATAGTCCGTACATGTTGTGTGTAATTTGTGTTAAATGTTACCATTAAATGATAATTATTAATTAATATAATTTATATACTAAATTATGAAAATAAGAACGACGTCAAACTGTTAAAAAGATCCCAATGAAATAACGAATTACAAAGTTAATTTTTATAGGATGGCCACTCTAGTGGCGCTGAAACTATTGTATATTTTGAGGCAAGGAGTGCAACAATATAATATATAAGAAATCTTACTCAAGGAAAATTGTAAGATTTAAAAAATATACCCCCGCTCACTAAAGGTTAATTAATCGCAGATTAAATTTTGCCGTTAATTCATTACAGTGCAGTTACATTATGAATAATAGCCAATGTGCAACTTAATTCGTAGAACATCGATACCTAAACGTGATAAACAGCGACGATATGAAATAATTAAGCTCGCGAGATACTTTCCGCCTCTTGAAGGGAGGTGCGGCTAGCAGTTTTTAAAAGTTCGTAAAATAGATTTTCGTTCGTGTGTGAGTGTTCCGTGTATTGTTTTAATCAACAGTTATCGAGCAAGGTATAATAATGATAACTCTTTTTGCGTGTTACCGTAACTATGTGCTAGTACTATGTGTGTACATAAGTAGGTCCGCCTCCCACGGAACTCCTTGTAATATATCAGCGATTGGCTGATTCGTCGGTATTTATTCACTCAGCACTTTGCTCGCAGGCGATCCTCTTCTATACCCCGCGCTGGCTTTGGAAGGGCTGGGAGGGTGGCAAGATTCATGCCCTTATGATGGATCTCGACATCGGGCTCTGCTCCGAGGTGGAGAAAAAGCAAAAGAAGAAAATGCTGCTCGACTACCTCTGGGAGAACCTTCGCTTTCACAATTGGTGGGCTTACAGGTACTACCTATGCGAGGTCCTCGCGCTCCTAAATGTGATCGGTGAGTAGCCCACACTTCTCTTTTTTTCGGTCCGCACCGAAGTCCTCCGTCAATGTTTGAGCTTCTCGATCAACGCCCTCCTTATCGCGATGTCGTAATACGGACAAATCGGAATTCGCAGATCCGTTAGGCGAACGTCATCTTCCGCGTATCTTCCGTTTACGATCGATAAACATAAACCAGTTATGTGCTTGAGAATGATATTTAAAGCGTTTCTCTTTCACTGCTGAACTGCATATTGAGATTGAGAAGTAGAATTTTAAAAAAACAATCGAGAGAGAGAGAGAGAGAGAGAGAGAGAGAGAGAGAGAGAGAAAGAGAGCTTTTCGCAATTTACTATTACTTTATGTTGAACACTGTTAAAAAATATATTGAAATAAAATAAAATAAATAGTATTTGTAACTCGAAGAATAAATCTAATACAAGTAAAATACCTACGTGAGCTTTCATGGTTGTTGATGCGTAAATTATGTATTCTATAATTGAGATATACTTACAAACAAAGTTAAAATAATATAAACGTTTCAAGTCTTGATTTGAAAAATATTATTTTTGTGTCCCGTTGAAACATTTAAACATAACGGCTTGCACGAATTTTGAGATTTAAGTACATAGAAATCAAGATTGACATAAACATGAATATTCCTTAATGCTTAAAAAGTTTGTGTAATATAGTTTGAATATTAATAGCTGAGAACAATTCAACAGATATTTAATTTGTTATCGCCGTACAAACTGTTTGTACTTAACTTTCATGCTGAAGGAGACTCAAATCTAGAGTTGGAACGTTTGCATTTATCTTAACTTCGTTTAGTAAATAAGTACATCCCAGTTAGTTACGAATTGTATCTTATCATATTATGAATACGTAATTTATGCATCAACAATCGCAGAGGTTTACATAGGTATTTTACTTGTAAAATATATATTCTATACATTTCTATCTGATTCCATCTTTCGTCAAGAAGAAGTAGACAAAGATACCGTGACAACAAATAAAATACTTGCCGAATTGTTCTTAATTATTGTCATTTAAACTATATAAACTGTTAAAGCATTAAAAAATATTCATATTCATGTCAATGATTTCTTTGTATTTAAATTTCGAATACGCACGAGCAGTTATGTGCATCTGAATATTTATATAAAATACAACATAAAAATTAAATTTCTATGGACGCAAAGTATTTCAATACTGAAAGAAAAAACTAAATTTTAATAAATATTTGTTTAAATAGTTCTAAGCAAATATTTACTATAATGTATGTTTATTAAATCTATATTTATTTAATACAAAAACCATTAATTTGATTTAGTTACCTTTTTTTATTGAATAAATAATTATTGTATCATAAGTAAATGTTTACTTAAAACCGTTCGAAAAAATATGTACAATATTAAGATTTAATAATTTTTTTTTAGTGTATGCTACAAATTTTCAAGACGCGTTGCAATAATGTAATCGTTTTCACAGAAAGGTCATGTCAAAGACGATGGAATTCAACAAACTATCTCTAGACTAACTCGCGTTAATTTTACAAACGTATATGCGTGTAAGAAAAAGGAAGGGTGTATAATGAGGAGTGAATGAATGAATGATTCACGGTAAAAGTTGGCAGCGATACAGCTGGCCAACCGTTTGCAAACTCCCCGATTTTACTTTGAGATAGCTCGTCAATTTTATCTTTTATGTCTATCACATTCAAATTACAGTGTGATATGACTATCATCATAAACGTATGCGAATATAATCTTCCACACCTAGGTACATGAATCAATCAACTACGAAAGCTATAAAAATATATGTATCGTATAATTGTTTAATTGTGATTAAACACGAAGTTATTATTCAATATTTCATTCAGATATAAAATTATTTTAAAATTATTCTCATGGCTAAGATGGATACAAATTTATTTGTTATAAGATATAATATATATTTAATAATGTTAAAATAATTTTGTATAATTAAAAAAAAGTAATGTTACAGAGATATTAAAAAAGTAATAGAGATTAATTGTGTTTTTAATTACATAAAAAATAAGCTGAAAATGTAAAATAAATTTTTTCAAATGAGGCTTTGTTTTCGAATATTTTCAATAATTTATAATAAAATTCATCGTGCGTGAATGTCCTGTTTTATTACATATTCTCGATTACCTAATACAATCAACACAAAATAATCAAAAATAGTAGTAGACATAGTATTCAGTTTAAAGTATACATAGTATACAATTTTTTCAAAAGCCTCATATAAAAAAATTTATTCTACGATTTTGACTTACTTTTTCATGTAAAATCATCTCTTTCTCGGTTGTATCACGATTTCCGAAACATCTTGTATATATCATATAGCTGTTTGAGTAGCTGTTTGAAATTGTTTTGAGAGAAAGACAAATAAAAATGACGAAGAATTGTAAAGCAACGAGCACATTGTCGCAGGTCAGATGTTTCTGATGAACCGTTTCTTCGATGGCGCCTTTTTGACCTTTGGCATCGACGTACTTAGATTCCTCGAATCCGATCAAGAAGACCGAGTGGACCCGATGATTTATGTCTTTCCACGAATGACCAAATGCACCTTTTACAAGTACGGCGTCAGCGGAGAAGTCGAGAGACATGACGCCGTCTGTATACTGCCTTTGAATGTCGTGAACGAGAAGATCTATGTCTTTCTGTGGTTCTGGTTCCTTTTCCTCGGCGTGCTCAGTTTCTTTACGGTTTTATATAGGGTCAGTATCCCAGAAAAAGTACTCTTTGTATTTTATAAATAATATCCGCGATATAGAAACAATACAATTTTTCGAATTATAAAATCAATAATAATCAACATAATAAGATAGCTCTTTTTAAGCAATAAATTCTTTACAGTTTCTAAGATGTTTAACATCAATTTAATTAAATCGCTTGTCAATTTAATTTGAGATATTATCCTAGTTCCAGTTTAAATTTATGTTAAAATTAATTGTTTCAAGATCAAAAATTAAATTGGCAGTTTACAAAACATGTTACTAGATATGTATACGTATATAAATTCAAACTGAAATATTATTAAACATTTTAGTTGTCTTATTCACATATTGTATTATTTAATGTCATTAATGTTATTCTTATTTACTTATTTTTTTCTCGCAACATAATTTATTATTTTCCCTGCAGATCCTAATAATATTTTCGCCGCGCACGAGGGTCTACCTGTTGCGAATGAGGTTTCGTTTGGTACGAAGGGATGCTGTAGAGACCATAGTGCGTCGCAGTAAGGTCGGTGATTGGTTTCTTCTCTACATGCTGGGCGAGAATTTGGACACCGTGATATACAGAGACGTGATGCACGAATTGGCGAACAAGCTCGCCTCGAGGCATCACCACGGAGTGAAGGGCGAGCTTCAAGAAGCCTGATCGAGGTGAGCGTCTCCTCTTGTTCTCGTTCGTACTCGCGTAGGTGTCCGTTGAATAACTTTGTTCTTTATGACACTGGCATTCAGAAACGTATTGAATTCTTAAGGGATCGTTGGCGTACATCCGCCGATCGCCTACGTGATATACTTGTACATGCTGGATTTGTACATTATCTGAATCGTGATATTACAGCGATCGATATACTCGTAAAAATATTTATGCTTCATATAGAAAGTACAAATGTACGTTTTTATCAGTATTTTATAAAGATAAATACATGATTTTTTAAAAAGTTAGGAAATAAAGCGTACCTTTCACTGAGAGAAAGGTAATTTAGAATTTGTGACTATCATTGCGTGATAAAATATGGTTAGTAATTCCATTTTTACAGTTGTTACTGATATAAAATGTTAGTCATAATATTTATATTTAGGTATATGTACAAAACAATACATATAGTTGGTATCGCAAATTATGAATTTTTTTTGACACTCATCTTCGTTTATAAAAATTATAACAGAAAATATTACACAGATTTTTTTATATTTAAAAATAACATAATAAGAAAAATCTTTCTCATATATATTATATAATTTTTTAAAAAATTATAAAATTATACATTCTGAAAAATTCTAAAATTTTGTGAGATAGCTGCTGTTAGCTGTCTTGTTAATATAATATAATTTTTTTCGTATGTGCATTTAGTTTGCAGATTTAAAAAAAATTCATGGAATAATCCCAAATTTATAAAACAATTCCAAAAGCATTCTAATCAAAAATATAATTCATGCTGTTTACCAATACCATTGATATTTCTATTTCGAAAGTATACAAGTATGAGTTCCAAAGCGATTTCACTTTGAAAGAAGCGCACCATCAATATTGTTTAGCAACGTAACGGCAAATATCTCGAACGATCTACTCTATGCGATCGCCTCGAAAGAAAACGATGCGCATCAGGCACGTGCGCGCTTACGATTTCACCTGCCATAACTAAGCAGCCTAGAGACGCGTGTCCCGGCGCGATGTCCATAGATCAATTGACCGTGTCCGATGCAATCTACGCAATCGCTTCATGCGCGCCGTGAGTCGGATGATTATTGTTGCAGGTTGCCTCGGAGGGACGGTACGTTCGATTCGCCGCTGCCGCAGTCCTGCCCTCGCTCATCTGCATCGCGCGGTCGTCGTCGCGTCCGGGGACGACGTGGGACGTGCGATCGCAGTCGGAACCTCAGAAGACTAGCTGATGGATCTTCCTCGAGGATCCGCGGGTCTGGTCTCGCAAAGAGACGCGTTTTTCCCTTCCGCCGATTGTTGCTCGTCGAACTCGAGGCGATGCGACAGCGATAGTCGCGAAGCTGCGTTCGTGGAGATTACAATTTCTGGTGAGAAAGAGAATGAAATATACGCGCTTTCGCTAGTCATCTTCAAGAACTAACATAGTTTTGGCGAGTTCAAAGAATCTCGATACTGCAAGCACAAACGAGACTATTTATACAGAGAACAGTAGAAATGTCAATTGTGTCTTTTGAGACTCCATAAAATTAAACGTTTAGCTTCACGCGTTCTATTCGTTATGTTATTTTAAGATTTATGTGCATTCCAATACGATATGAATATCAAACTGTATAGACGATATCTTGCATCCGTAATTTTTATATTATTCTGATAAAGGATGATCACATTTCTTGTTATGTTCCCGTGTGTGTGTGTGTGTGTGTGTTATCTCGTATTTCCACTTTCTCCTCTACTTGTAAACGTAAACGCGAAAGGTGCATTTGGGCATGTCTTGCAGCACAGGGAACTGAACTCGTCGAAATTGCATACCGGTTCCAGTCCCCGGTCGCAGTCGGGTGAATTCAACCGGTGGCCCGTAAACGAAAAGACAAAGACGCACGGCAGCGCGTGTGCAAGAGCGATGGAAAGGACCAAAACTACACCGGCGTGTTGCTGCACTTGGCAGGAGACTGGAGATGCGTCGTCCTTAGATAGCGAGACGCGTTAAAAGACACTTCAGGAACGGCGGCGTGGAACGGATCGTCGAACGGACATCGCACCGACTGATCATCGAGAGTAACGCCAGCCAGAGAGATCTTCGTGCCTTTATATTTACTCCTGTGTCGCCAAAAGACAGGATCTCGAAAGAGTGCCACACATCGAATGTATCGTCGCACGGGATATCTTGTTTTTGCTAATCTTGGGTCCGCTACAAAGAATGCCCTTAGAATCAATAATTGAGAGACAACAAGAATCGAGAAACAAGTTTTTCGTAAATATTATAAGCATTTCGTAAGTTATATTTTTAGATGACAACTATTTTAGAGATCTTCATTGTAAGAGATTGGATATTATTTATACACCTTTGATTACCTTTTGATTATCTGCCATATTTAAGACGGTTTAAGATACAATGAGATGCAAAATAGAATAGTTGCGTTTCAGTAGAAAAAATAGCAACTGTTGTAAGATTCTTTAACAAGATTCGTTTATATATTTAGATGAGACTAGGGACAGAAATCAATCGTAATAAAGAATCTTATAATAATGGCAAAGTTGTCTTTTTGCTGAACGCAGCTGATGAAATGTATAAATGTCTATTTCATTCTATTGTAAATGTTTGATCCGCCATATTTAGAACAGTGTTCAATTTCTCACTTAAGGATCTCCAACTGATCCTATCGTTTTTCCTCATTGCCGCGTAAGAATATCCATAAAGAATGCATTTTGAATCAGTAACCGAGGAATCGAAAAACAATGAGCTTCACGTGGAAGATAAAATTATGAGGTTTTTATTTGCATTCTTAGATGACAGCAAGTCCTATCGTTTATCTTCACGCGAAGGGATATCATGAGGGGCAAAGTAAATCCCGTGTGCCGATATTTTCTTTGTAAATTAGTTCTAGACTATAAAGAGCGTCCGGAATGCTAAGTAGACGCTGCGTATAAATTGTTTCGAACTATTTAACTTTTATCGTGCCGTGTTTCGCAAGTATGAATACTAAGTAAGGGAGATATGAAAGGAGGGAGTTAATATCTCTTTCGTTTATAGATTATTGTATAGCCGTATTTTTTTCGGGCAACGTTGCGACGATCTCTTTTGATGGAAAGTTTGAATTTATGTCTTTGAAGAAAGATTCTTCTACTCAATCCATTAATGCAAGAACGTAAAATATGTAGTCTAGTCATTATACTCTATGTAATAATATCGATCGCGAATTTATCTATTGATACGGACACACTGCCACCGATCGGATACGATCGATTTTGCTGTATCTATCTTCGTTCTATTTAAATGAAGATAGCGTCCAAAATAAAGGTGCGTTACCTTGAAACTTTAAGAGTTATTAATTTTGTGATATTGATTAACGATTCCGAAAATGCTATCACGTTTTTGTAAGTTTGTCATGTTATTTAATTTCCTTTGACGTACGTTCTACAGATTATAATATTTTTGTCAATAATAATATCAAACAATATACGTGAATATTTTAATAATACATTACATCCACAAGCAATTTAAAAACGTTGATTATTCTCACATCATAATCAATAAATGAAGATTTCTTCTGAAAACGAAGAAACGAAGCTTTTCATTTGGCCAACTTATGTGCAGACATTTTATTTCTTATATCATATTTTTTAGAATTCATTCATAATTATTTTTAATTGTTAAGCATTAATCGTACTATTATGCTTAATAAAATATTTATCATTAGAAAGGAAGTTGTTATTAATTGCATCATTTTAGCTTAAACTGTATATTAATATACTATAAATGTTTGTAACAATAAATTACCTTTGTCATTTTTTATATTCACATACGATTTGATATAAATTTTTATGATTAATTCGGAATTTATTTTCTGAGCACAATTCACTGAAGCAACGATTAGCTTCTTATTTGTTTTACGTCTAAATAAAAATAATATTAATACAGTAATGCAAATTTGCTAAAATCGTCTAAACTCTTGATTGCTGTACAATCAAGAGTTTATTCCAGGTAAGTGAACAAACTCGGAGGGAAGTGATGTGTTCGCCAAATAATTTCTTTTCATTAAACGCAGATGACGTTTAGACTTACGGTAACCGCGTTCGAGACGCACATCGGATAACAATTTCGGAATAACTTGGAATATATTCCAGCTCGTTGTGCGTCCGAGTATTACGTGCGTCGTGTCCGTAACACTTCGAGATGCGTGTTGCCATATTCGGGAATGCGATGGCGAGAGAGGACCAACCGGTCCGTTGCCCTCCTCCAAAGAGAGTTCGCCCCAGACATCGCGAAACTGCCCAGCCGCGGGCGATACCAGGCGATAAGTCTGGGCACGATGTTGGACTTTTCGTCGAAAATTAGAACCCGAAGAACCACTTCGTTTGCGTTTCCTTTCGGCATCGCTCTCAAGTTTGAAACGCTTCGGTAACTTAACACATTTTCTCTGCGTATTTTTGCTTTTGCCTTTGTTAAAAACATTTGAAACTACTTTTACTTACAGATATTTTTTTTTTGACACACTGTAATAGAAATTGAAAAAATTTAGTAAATTTTAAAATAAAGAACTTGGGATTATATTTTTTTTTAAATTTTTATTGATTTTATTTCTACGAGAATTATATTAATAATATATCTACATACATGGAAAAAAAATTTAGTTGCATAAATTAAAAATCTGGTAGATTCAGTCAGAGTATCAATTGAGTATCTTAAAACGAGATAAAAATTATAAAAGTGAGCAAATATTCGCGATATATTGACCAATGAAATTATAAATATTCTAGTGAATTTATTCACTTTTATAACTTTCACTTCATTTCCTGATACAATTGACACTCAGAAAGGTACAAATCAGATTATTTCATAGTTAAATCTATCAAACATTCTAGTTGAGATAAATTCAGTCGCAATAAGTACAAAGTTTCTCATTAGTAGTCCCGGAATGCATTTTTATTTCTATTTCTCGTTGATATAACCAAATATTTTTCTCAGTGTAATTATATCATTAATAACAAGAAGAAATATTCGCAATATGTAAACTGTGTTAAATATCGAGATACTATATTATTCTCTCAGATAAATTTCGAGTTTCTTTTAATTGGTCCAAGGATACGTCGTATGTGAAAGTGAAGGGTCATTGCGCGATTCGGGTTTTTAAGTGACAGTGTAACGCAGCTACAACGTAACTTACGTCAGAGTGATGCTGTAAAAGTAAATCGACATTGTGGAGAGAAAAAAGAGGCAGTGGTGCACAAACAGAAATTCGACGAACGAGCCTGCGTGCATCGGCGTGACGAATGCACGCGGGAAACACGCGGAACATCGCGCCAAGTGTCGCGGATCGCTCATATAGTGGTGGATCGTGAAAGTCACTTTACGGGATTTCTCGTGGGATTTGAAAGCGGCCGACAAATTACGACGGAAGGGAAAAAAATAACGATTTAGCGATCGCGCGTTATTCTCGCTCGCGATATACTTGACACCTCATCCACGTATAGTGTCGTAATGTTTGACGCCCATTCTCGCGAGAGCGCCTTTTTAAAGGGAACTGCAGGCGAGTCACGTCGCATAATCATTATGCAAGGATGATCGTATATCCTAGATGATACGTCGGTCCACAGCATGCGTTGGATAGAATTTACTCTCTTCGTTACGCAGAATTGCCAACGGCCTAGACTGTATATTAATCCCCGTGTCGCGTTTTAGTATACGCGATGCGACACATAGATTAACTAATTCGAGGAAAAGTTACGCACTCTTTATCAAAGACGATCCAGAAAATTAATATCTTATTAACATTCAAGAGAGAATTGATTAAGACACGGCGTATATATATATAAATGGAAAATCTCTTTATACAGTTGCAAGTTAACCTCTCAGTTGTAAGTTAGAAAGAATGCATATCTAAAAAGAATAGTTTTAAAAATATCTAAAAATTGAGCTAAATATCAATTTAAAAGTAATTTTTGAATCATAATAATAATTATGTAAGACTCTCAAGTTGGTTACTAGAATATGAAATTCTTTGGAGTGAATCTCTCTCCAAAAGAGCGAAAATTCTACCGTTCTTTTAATAAATGATAGAATTTTCATTTTTTAAAAGAGATTTCACTCTAAAGAATTTAAAGAGAAAGTCAAAATGTATTTTCAGTATTGCTCATCATGCTTGCATTTCCTAAATAATTGTTTGATTCAACAAAAATTATTTTCAGATCTGTATCTAGCTAAATTTTTAGATGCTTTATTAAAACCATTCTTTCTACATACAATTTCGATTTTCAAATTAGAAAGTGAAAGCGATTTATTAACTAATATGTACACAAGGCACGCTCTTACAAACATTCTAACTACCGTTGTTGCGAATAAATAGCATTCGCTTTGTTACATTGTGGTGCAATACTATTCCGTGAATTATAATTAATGTGCGCAAGTCTAAATATATAGCGTAAATTAATCGTTCTATTCCACTGACTATTAAACTCGAATCCTGATAATCACACAGGATTACCAATGCGGTAATATTGCCTCCATCTATTTCTCTTTTCTAACAAGTGTTCCGTAACTGAACTTTAAGATTAGCGACGTGAAAGTAAACGCGAAAGAAAATCGCGTCTTCGCGTCTTCGTGTCAACTCGCGAAAGTCATTGCGAGAATCACATCCACCAGAAGGTTGGAGTCAAACCTGTCGAACAAAACGCGCGATCAACGATAAGTTCTGCGCTCGTCGCGAGCCAAGCAAAGCGATCGAAACTCATCCTCCGCCAATAGCGGACGCCTTTTCGCTGAGTTTCGAGTGGTCTTTCCAGTTTGCAGCGCGACCAAAATGGTCCGACGATGGTATCCATTTCTCTCTCTTGCCTCCTTTGATCTTTCTCGTTCTCCTTCCTCGCACCCGTGCCACCCGTTGTCCTCGTCCCGTCGCGGGGTTCTCGTCGTTCTCTCCCTTACCCCGCGAATCTTCTGTGTCCGGCTATACTGGACCGTAAATGGCGAGCAGAAGGCCTTGGGCGCCCACGCCCCCGCGTTTCTCTCTCTCTCTCTTTGTCTTTCTCTCTGTCTCTCTTTCTCTCTTCTCTGCTCTTCTTTCTTCTCTCGACCGAGGATCATCGCGATCTCTTATCACCGAGATCGCGAGATCGCCGGCCGCCATCTGTCTTTCACCTCTCCCGGATGGCCGACCGATCCGTGATTCCGTCGTACCTTTTTCGGCAAACGATTGGGAAAATGAAAATGATCAAAGAGAAAGGCGTCAAATGAAGAGTCTTTTATAGTCAAATTGCGCGACATTTAAAATAAGAGATAGAACATAATCGGGAAACGCTTGTGAATCGTCGAACCCGCAGTCTTTTAAACTTTGCCATATTTTTTAGTATAATGATATTTATTTCTTCAATTCGGGGCAATCAGCAAAAAAATAATATCAAGTAAATATAATTTACAATATCTCAGGTTCTGTTTATGTTTAATTCTTATTTTTATATCCTCACTAATAATATTTGGGAAAATTAGTAATATAAATAATGTTAAATCAACTATAAAATTGTTGCAATTGATGCAAACTGATGGAACTGACGTGGCACTGAAGTGAGAATGCAAGGTGCATTTTTACATCTTTATAAATGGCTCTTTAACGTCAATATCACGAAACACGCGAGGTACAGCTCTGTGAGGACAAGCGGAAAAGATCTCGCGCGAACTAAATGTTCTTTCAGTTCGAGAGTGCTTCGTCGAGAGGTACGAATTCCCGGGCGCCAGGACGTTTGCGTGAGTTGAAGAAGTGAAAAGAGTGTTCCGCGTCCTTCAGAAACGACGACGGCGCGCGGTTTTAGATCGCCTCGAGTGGAGTCGCCGCGAACAGAATCGCACGAAGAGAATTGCACGCTTAGAGTTTTCGCGGCGGAATAATCATCGTTCGGCGAAAACGAATAGCGGTTTTGAACTTGCTGGAAGTTGGGAGACGAACTTGCCCGGGGACATCGCGAATTCATCTCTCACTGGAGTAACGGATGTCAGTCCGGGATACCGTCAGTTGTCAAAAGTATTCGTGAAACGTAAAGTATTCTATCACGTTTGTCTTATTAAATCCATTCGAAATCGAAACTTGGAACGGGATGTTATATTCAGAGAAAAAGACATAGTAGTGACAATTATAGAGGTCACAACAATGCAGAAAAATTGATTTCACTGAAATAATTAAAAATTTAGCTGTATACAGATCTGAAAATAATTTTGTTGAAACGTCAAAAATAATTATGAAGTAATATTTTTCGTCTGTAAAATTATTTACAGGTTTTAAGATACTTATTAGCATTAGATTATGAATGTCTATGAGCATCATTATTATTGAATTACTTGTCAATGTATAATAATTTGTACATTGATAATAGTATTCTAGTTCTTAGAATTGCGTTTTAAGACTAAAAATTAAATTCGACGCGTAATTTACAGAATTGGATATGTATATAAATCTGGACCCCGCACAAATCTTATGGAAAATGGATCTCAGTCGAATTGGTGGAAATTTTACTATAATGTAGATGATGTTCTGATCAAAAGTCCTTATAAGTAGGGAGTTTAAAAATGGACAGTTTTCGAGATATTGGATGTCAAATGTTGGAAATGTGACTAAATTCCAACATTTTATTTCCAATATCTCGAAAAATATCCATTTTTGGATCTCGTGCCCACAAGGATTTTTTATTAGGATCATCATGACCTATATTATAATAAAATTTTTCAACCAATTCGATTGGGATCTGTTTTCCGTTTTTAGAAGATTTATTCCTTTAAATCGAATTATTTAAGTACTAATTATCCAGCATTTAATGCTTTTATTTCCTAGTTGTTGTGTATTATGTTACGGTCTTAAAAAATATTTTGTTTAAAAATAATTATATATGAAACGCAAGCACAATGAGCAATGCTGCAAAAAAATTTTGATAACAATCAGCTTTAGCTTCTTACATAATTATTTTGATATTTCAACAAAATTATTTTAAATCTGTATCTACTTAAATTTTCAGATACTTTAGCAAAACTGTTCTTCCCATGTAAGCAAATTTTATTTGTAGAATTAATACATAATTATTGCAATTATAAAACAGTTTCTTTAAGTATTAATATAATTAATGTACATTAATTTTTTATTCAATTTTATTATGTGTATACATTAATTCTACATATAAAACTTGTATATTTGTCACCTTTATCATTTTTTGCTTTTATCATTTTTTATTATGTTTTTTTCTGAGTGAAGGCACAGGTCACTTCAAGGATCACAGTCCATGTACAAATGAAAAAAAAAAATCAATCCATTCTATTATATGTGAAGGATAGCATTAAATAAATAAATACTCTTCGCTCCTTCATAAGTGGAGAAAAAAAAACATCGTGTCTTACAAATGTCATAAAAGATATCAAAATATCCGAATGCTATCTGATTCAATCACAATGCATCAATTCACAAGTTGTATATCAACAGATAGCAACACGAAAATTAATCGTCATCGTTTGCTCTACCATTCATCCGAGGAAGGAAGTGGCTGTTTAAAAAAGAGAAAAGAGAAATTACAAAGATCAATCGTAAGGATTAGAAAGAAGAAAGGTTCGCCTTCTCGGTTACCCGTGCCCTATCATCACACCTGTCCGCAACCCATTCCGGTCTTTCTGACCGTAGAAAAAAAAGACATTCCGCCTCCCACGATTTATCAAGGGGAAGGGGAGAGGGAAGAGGGGGGGGGGGGGCGCTGCCGGTCGGCGATCTCGAGGGGTACCAATGCGCTCAAGTAGGTGGGCGGGTAGTCGAATAGAACATGGTATCGCAGGTAAAAGGACGCGCTTGGTACCGCGTGCGATGCAAAGCGACGCAAGGCGACGCAAGGCGACGCGACGCGATCGCGAGTGGGAGAGGAAAAGGCGGCGGTGCGGCGAGTTTAGTTCGCGCGTCGTACCGAGGTCGTCGAGGGGGGCTCCGTCGTCGCAGGTGAAACGCTCTCTCAGGAGAACGGACTCAGTCGTGGCCGCGCGATCGCGCTTAGACGATATTTACCTGCCTGCGCGCGGAGATCCCGGCAGGAGCGTATATCGTCCGCACGCATCCCGCAGTTCCCCCGAGAGCCCCCCTCTCGGAAGTGGGTCCAAAGGCCCCGCGTACGCATCGTACGCACGCACGCACGCACGCACGCACGCAGCACGGCGAATACGCCTACGAGGTAGGAGAACCCGCGTGTTATTTTTCCTTCCTCGGGAATACAATACGTTCGTCACCGGACACCCGCTGGACGAATCGCGACTCGGAGAAGATCCGTCGTCGTCGAAAACGTATTTTTCCTGTTGAAAAATATTATGGTTTGAGATACGTTTACTTTGATCCTCCGACCTCGCGAGTTTCCTCCAGCAGTGACCGGTCGACTCTTCGTGCGATTTATGGTACCGTGGAGATGGAAAGCAAGGAAATTTCATGGATGATGGAAATAAATTCTATTCGATTTCGTTTCCGCTATTCGATTTAGAATCTTGACGAACGCTCCTGCATGACCAGTTCGCGGTTGAATTTTTTTTTTCCCCCCACAGGAAGGTGCTTATCCCGCGTTCGCTTTTAGCGTTAGTCTGTCACGCCGAGCGGTGATCTCAACGCTGACAGAGTCGGACGAATCGAGGTCGAGCGAGAGTTTCCGACACGGTGCGTGGCTCGCGACTCACCGTGGAGAATTCGACGGAGGTCGTCGACTGTCAGCGCGAAAGACGCGCTCATTAATTCCGGATGGGGAAGAGCCAGGGCTGCCCCCGGTAGCAATTTTGTGAGCGTAAGTTGCACTCGCGAGCACTCGCGAGCGCTCGCGAGCGCGCGCTATATAGGCGTTCCCCGCTCGCGTAGAAAACTCGTTGACCTTCGCGCCTGCGGACGTTGCCGGAGTACGAAAGCGAGCGGCAAGTCCGACTGAAAAATCTCCCCCTTCCGCCGATTTCGGTAAATCCATACCAAGAATACTTACTTGTCGTAAAGTAGTTAAAGGACACGCCAATTAACACGGAATGCAACGGAGGAGACGCCAAAGTAAGACTTTCATTTTTGTCGTGTTCCAAGGAACCCACCAAGTCACAAAAAAGGTCAAAATGACTTTATTTTGACATCGTGAAAGTCAAAACGATGATCTTTTATCATCATAAAATTTGTTGAGACTGTTCATGGATTGAGAGTAAAAATTAAGTCATTTTGATTTTTTTGTCAACTTTTATGTGTGTTCCTTGTTGGACGATATTTTAAAAATAATTCTTAAGTAACACTTATTTTATTAGAATGCGTACGATATTTAAAAGTGGAAAAAACAAAAAATGTTTCTAAAAAAAATTAGACATCTCGATTTCAAAGATATATAATAGGTGCCTTGCATTCCTTTCTCCTTTATCCTTACAGGGGGTATCGTATATTCGCAACAAGTGTATCGACCTTTCGTAACGGACTCGGATGCGAGATGTTCATTCCTTCCATCTCAAGGTTTCGATTTAGAAAAACAGAGTGTCACAGGCTTTGAAAGATATAGAATTCATTCGTATTTCTGTCCAGTTCAACATCGAGTAATTTGTGTTAGTTTAATACACTCCTAGTTTAATTCAACCTCCGTCAAAATGGTTGACAAAGTGAATCCCCTGCATGGCACTCTCATCCGCAACATAAATTTTAAAATATCGTGTATTTGTCAACTCGACAGTTTAAGCTCAACTTCGGTAGTTCGGGATAAATTCTAGAAAACAAAATACAAATCTGTTTTACCTACGCGGAGGCAAACATGCGGAAATAAAAGCGATATATTTCGGGTAGATGAGTCACCTGACAGGCGCCACGTGAGTGGTATTAAAATACGTGACCGATAAGCCAGTAACGCGGTATCGCAAATAGATACAGACTAGGAGTCTTAGATAAGAGCGTTGTTCAAATAGTCTATGCACTATTTGCAACAAACATACCGTTTATTTTATTTACTCGATATTTATAAATCACACTTGATTTGATATCTCTTAACTTTGCGCAGTAAATTTTCACTTATTCTTCTTACTTCGAGACGTATTCGTTTCTGTCGCCTTTCCGACCGATATTCGAGACTCATAATTTGATCGCAACACACCCTCGATATTTACGCTTCTATTGTCAGACGCTTTGTTCTAACTTTGTTTTATCAGCACTTTACTCTAAGTTGTTTATACGCAGAAAAATATCATTCTATTTCTAAGAAAAGTGATTACTAAATTTAATGTCTTCCTTTTAAGTAATAATTATCTTTAACAAAGAATGTTTTCTTGATAATAATCTTAAAATATGTTTATTACAAATTTTAGAAAGACTCATTATTATGCACTTAAAACAACAATTTATTTTCTTTTAAAGAATATTATAAAATTGATTGAAGGAGCGACTTTGTATACGATAATAAGCAAATTGAATTTGTTTTAATTTAATAATCTTGATTGAAGTATAAAACTTACTAGGAATATACAATATATTTTAAATAAATTTAAATGCTGATGAAATTATGATAAACTTGCGGATGTATTATTTTTTGAAATATTTAATACAATTAATTATTACTTACGTACAGTGAGTATTTTTCTGTGTGTACAGATGTAGATCATGGATTGTTCGATCGATGATAACCTGTTTTTAAAGAATTCTGCTGTATTCCGTTTGATTGGCGATGCTCTGTATAGTAATTCCAGTATAGTAATCGATCAATGAATCGATAATCAACATTTACACTTTCAAATGTGCAATCTACACACGTCCTTGTGCTTCATATATTCATCGGTGATGGATGAATCAAGCATATATATTATTCAAAAGATTGCGATGATCCAAGTAGGATCCATAGAAAAGCAAACGGATTCGATAGACGCTCGAAAGTATGATATAAGCGATACCAAGTGAAAAGATTCAACGATCATCGAGTTGGAATACGGTATTCGAAAGAAGATAAAAGTTTTCCTACTATCGATAGTTTATACAGATTGACATCCCTCTTTGTCTCACTTCATAACGGTGATATATTTTCCCAATTAAAATTTGTCGAAACTGCTACTTACTGCTATATTGTCTGAAACCTTCCCGCGTGATTCGAGGAAATAAAAAATAAATTGAAGAGGTATAAAATTAAATTATATTAAAAAAATATGAGTGTGTGAATTTAATATCATGCGGTGTTTATATAATTCCCATCGTGTTGGTGTAGATATAAACATCAATATGAAATGAACTTAATATCATGGATGTGAATTTAATACCATGATTTGGCACCATTAACTTCAAATATGAAAACTATAAGTTTTAAAGCGTTCCGTTTGAAGTTCACAGAATGCAAGTGAATCTCCATCTTATGACGATCGATACACTGAAAAAAAATGTATCTTTTGCATTATCTCTGCATTATTTTAATTAAAAATAATCTTGTTGATTTATATATTTACATATATTGTAATAACAATATTAAAATGAAATAAAGTTTTATTAAACTAAAAGTATGATGTATTTGTTTCATTAATAGAGTTAATGAATTAATGAAATTATTTTCAATTAGAATAATGCTATTGATATAACATGTTTTTTCTGTATAGAGGCAAAGTGTTTTTACTTATAATTTAGAACCTCATAGTATCAATCGTACAAAAAATTTTTTTTATCCAATAACGGATTGTTGCTATAATCGAGAATTAAATTAATGTTAATATCAACATCAACACCGGTGATAATTATACTTTTAATAACCATGATATTAAATCCTCATATTTTTTAAAATGTTATAGATAATGATTCAAATTATATTAATTTGTTATTTTCTGTTTCGACAAAATCGCACAGATTTTCATGAAAACATCTGAGACAAATGTACACTGGAAAAAGAGTCTGGTTGCATTAATTAGAATTCTATTTGAAAATGGACAAATGAAAATTTTCTATTAAGCCTATCATAATTCTAGTCGAGCTAATCAGAATTCTGATTGATGCGATCAGAATTTTCTGGTTCATTTTCAATAAGAAATTCTCATTACATCGAAACACTTGAGGAAAAAAGCGTGGAAAACACTGGTGCTACGCCACTGATATCCGCTACGACATGAGAGGTACGCGTATCCAACGGGCGCGTGTCTCAGCTTCTACACGGAACAGGATACGCACGGGCACGCATCCCAGGGAACGCCACGCATCTCACCCGCGGCGCCGTATCGATTTTCGAATTAGTCGCTCGAGAAAATTTTACTACGGCGCCAAAGAGAGGCGCTAATCGACAGCGATACGCTCACGCGATGATCATCGCGAGGGATGCAACGGTTTAACACGCGTTCTCGTTTTATTCGAATTTCTAGTTTCTCCATTATTTATCTGTAGCGGTCGATTCACCGTGCGATTCACGCGGAGCGCGAAATTTACGGTAATGACACTGTAAAATCGTGTCCGTAAGCGCATAGGTCGACACGTGGAGATCGTTTTTGTTGCCGTCGATAGGGCACCAAGTGCGATAGCGTTTTTGCCTCTTCTTCGATAGCGGGATTTCAATACAACAGCCACGTCGCTATTTTCTTCATTTTACAATCGCGTACGTCGCGTACGACGATCTCACGAATTAGATTTTGTACTTTGGAATAAATAGTCCACGTTTCTTTTTATGTATGGATTTTTAAATCATTTTATATTAAATTTATTCTGAGCCAAATCAATTTCATTTATTAATAGTTCATGAATTATAAATAATGCAGAATTTACAAGTTTTTGTTGAATTGAGCATTATAAATATTAATTTTAAAAACTGTAAGATTAAATCTGATTATTTGATAAATAAATCTTCTTATTCGTTTTAATCTTTCAAATTAATTTTTCTTTGATAAAATTAAATATTTAAACTTGAATGTTTAAATCGAAGACAGAGCAGAGTAAAATGCATATCTATAAAGGAATCGTTTTGTAATATTTTTAACATGTTTAAAAAAATACGCTGAAAAAGTCTCTTCTTATGTTATTCGACTTACAACGTAAACGTTAAAGTGCCTTTCAATATCAATTATCACAAATATGCTTCAAATTGATACATGATGGTCCAAATATGAAGGAAATACGAGGGACTCTGAATTAATATAAATTAACAAGTTCTATATGATTGTTATAATATAAATGCAATTTAGCAGATTGTACAGATAGCCTGCGTTTCGTAGCTTCAGCTTTTCGGCCCTTAAAACGACGAAATTGCACGGTGCGGCCAATACGGTATACACGTCGATGCGGCGGCGGCGGCGGTGGTAGCGCCTCCTCGAAAACCGGTCCTGCTGCCGCCGCCGCTGCCCGCTGTCGATTTCGCCTGGCGAACGCGATCGCCATCTTGGATCCGGCGAGGATGACGTCATTGGTACGGGGCACGGTCGCTTTATTCACTGCCGCTTACGCGCCTCGCATAGGTGCGGATGTTGTATGTGATATGCGCGTTCCTCCGTTTCTCGCTGGGGAAATTGTACTGGAAAATCGGCCAAATAATTCAGTGATTCTGATTCTAAATTTGTGCGTAGAGGAATAAAACTTGACCCGTAATAATTAAACATGAATTAAAATACACTGTCCCTCGCCTTTGCAGTTCATAAAATATCCCATTTTCTGTAATGCAAAACATAAACTTTCTTTGTATTCGGATTAGTTTTAATAAAGTATCGAGAGATACAGAACGTTGTTATTGTTTACAATATTAAATTTGTAAATGATTGTTTTTTCCTTAATTGGTAACGTAAATAACATCGATGCGCAATGTATTGAGAAATTTTACAATTTATTATTACATTTAATCGCAATATTTACATACATATACTTTTATATACGGAATATTGCATAACTAAACATTTCTGTGTTGCTGATTTTTTGTCTCTTCTTTTAACTATCTATTTATCGACGATACAGGTAAACAAGAGAAACCAAGTTAAACTGCTGCTAATTTACGTTGCACAATTTTATTCAATTTCTAAGATTCGAGAGGCGATAGTTGGTAGAAAATTACTCTATATACTTAACAATTTTTTAATTACGAAATTAATACTCAACATGAAAGACTGAAACGATTCTTTCGATTTGAAATTTATTTTATAAGAATATAAGAATATAAATCGCGTATTCAATTATCTTAAAAATTATCAATGTTTTAACTTTTCTATACATATTAGGTATAACACTTTTATTCAAGTCAATGATAAAATAAAATTAATTTTAATTCTCGCACACGTACTCCTATTGAAATTAATTTTATTTCAAAGCAAGTACGTATACGAGTCATTAATAGATGTGATAGCAGATTGATTTTAATGTCGATAAATGTAGACTAGAAATCGCGGCAGACGCAATCGTGGATAATTGATTCAACAAGGATACAACTTCGCCACTGTGAGATCCGTAAGCTCGATAGGCAGATTCCCATGACGTAATATAGATGTTCGTGAGTAAAGTATTTGCGATGAAATTATTAAGTGCGCGGAGGCGCGTGCGACCGTTGCGATTCGCATGTAATAGTGACTTTCTGCGTATAAGCACCGTAAAAGATTTTAATAGCATATCATTAATATGAATTTAAAAAATTGCACAGAAAATGGCCACCGTGCACGGTGCGCTCGCGGTAATAAATATTTTTCCCTTTGGCGACTATTATGCGAATCTTATCAATAGCTTATGTTTCATAATTCCCAGCTCACATTCCCTTTGCTTGTCGTACGCAATCCGACGGAAACTGCAAGTTCTGCGTTAGACTTACGTTAATCGTATACTTGAAATGCATTAATATATGTTATTATATATGCCTATCGTGCGTTATTTCTCTTCTTTTTGCTGTACAGCGATCTATTTGCAAACCCATAAATATGGAAAACTATCTTTCTGCGACCAAGATAATTTTACATATCTCTCATTTCAAAATTTATGCTTCAATATGGGGAAGGGATGGACATAATTTTATTCCCGTAAACTATTATTTACTATAGAATATATGATATAAAATGATGCAAAATGATGCAAAATGATAATAAATTTCATGATTTTTGTAATAATAAATTTATTTTATCACATTTTAATAGGACGTAATTGAAATGAAAGATAATAATCGACATCATGATAAAAAATTATTGATGATAGATTTCGTTTTATTTACATTCTATTATATAAAATAGATGAGAGCAAATTTATTATTACAAAAATTTCATAAGATTTATTATCATTTTGCCACATATATTTTATAGTAAATTCTGTAATGATTTATAAAAAAATTGTTAGCTGTAGGACGATAACTTCTTAATAATTAAATCTTCAATCACTTTCGAGAAAGCTGTTACAAGTGCATAACAATTTTATACAAATATATATTTGATATCAGTAAGAAAATTATATCTACACTACAATTTGTTTTAATTAATTTTACATATTTGACACACTTCACACAACATATGTGTGCAAGAGAATGATTGAGTTTTTGTGCTTTACTTTCGTTTTAAATATGTCAGTCAATCGAAAATGATTAGATACACCAGGACTTTTTGCTCGAAATCTATTCAATTTCTAGAGGCAACTTGTTCAGTTGGCAACTTGTTCGTAATTGGTGATCGTGAAAATGCGATCTATTTTCTTTCTATACATACATCATACTACGTCCCTGACGCAGCAGCTTTGCAACCATTCACTTCGAGCTAGAACACACTTTCGCAATAGCAAAAGTGTGATTGCTATAATCCCCAGCTGCAACGAGACAGCATAGTCCACAGCTGTCCCTCTGATATTTCGGTTTTCTTCTCTCCTATCTGATTCCGTTTGTATATCCGTTTCTCTGACGCACACGACAAGGCGCGAGACAAGATCGGCGCGATCGTTATGCAGCGGTCGTTGATGCACGACCGCTGGAAGGATCGATAATAGAATAGTGTTTCAGCCCTTTCAAGTTGATTTTTACTGCTTTCAAGAAACAACTTTCAAGTGATAACTTGCTTTATTGTATTTGTTTTATTGTCGACATACTTATTATTCTGAAAAACGATACATAATTCATGCTCTGATTTTATCCGTCCTCTCGCATTCAAAGAATCGCAAATGTAACAAGCTTTTTATATTTATTCTACAAGGCGTTACAAATGTGCTTATTATTGCTGCAAAGACCGATAATGGGCAATATCCTGATTTCAATGTTTTTGCTCCTTTAGGAGGAAAATGTTTCAAATGGTCATATGTTGTCTGTTTTATTAATCGTCATTGATTATTGGTAACGATATATAAAAATCACGAGGGGGGGGGGGAGGTTTATTATAAAGGATGATAACTTCCTAACCGTATTAAGTAAGCTTTTGAGAAAGCTGGCTGCAAGACGATTACGGTTAACGATTTCTAATATAAATTTTTTATTTGATAGTAAAAAAAGTTTCATTTGTACTGTGCATTTGTTTTAATTAATTTTTACATATTTGATATACTTTACGTAACAAATTGTGATAAATATACTAATATAATATAATATAATTGAAATGAACTTGTATACATAAAATTTATTTTTTAATTTATACTATTGATTATAATTAAAAATAACTATTAAAAATATGATAATGTTGATAAAAAAAATATAATATATATTACCATCATTTTCTTTTGTAACGTCATTTTTCTTATTTTTCCTTTTTAACATGGCAATTACTGCATTTTTTTTCTAGCATATTTATAGGAATATTTCGATATTACATTATATTTATTCAAAACTGCATGCAAGAAATTGTGCATTGTTATGCATCACAGAGTGCATCTTCGCGTGTCATTCCTTTTTTGCTGCGAGTGGAAGAAGTTGTAGGCTGTTTCGCGATTCTGGAAAAAGGAAACTGCAATTTACTCACTCAGAATAATCCGTGTTATTTCCGTTTTTCTTTTTTGTTCTTCTTAACCTGTTTGTTATTCCGTCCTTTTGTTTTTCCGCATGGATACAGCGGATTCTTCTCAATTATATTTTATTACATTTATCATCTACTATTTTGTTAGAACAATTTTCCTTTATATTTCTATCTCAAATCAAGGTTACGAATATTTTTCTCTTGCGTATTAATTTAATAATAGAAAATAATTTATTCTCTGAGATATATTTCATCGTTTAATAACATGATTATAACGCAGCAAAATCGTTCTTAATTTAAGATCGCTGTATTTTAGCTTTCTGCGTACTTCGAATAAATAAAAGATTAAATATTGAATATTGATTATCCATTTGTCATTTGAAATTCAGCATTTAATCCCTTCATCAGAGATCAGAAAGATCCAGCTTCTCGCGATCGGAGCAATAATTTCTCGTTTCGCGTTAATTAATCCGATATTTTAACTGGACACCTGCTTAAAAGGAAAAACCGAATTCCGTAAGCCCGTATCGTCAAGAGCGACCAATCAAAAAGGATCTACAGCGCACACTCGCATACAGTGAAGCTACGGTATAATTCTTGGTTCGCTTCTCGGTCCTTTAATCTGTCGGTTACGTTTATCCTCCTACTTTTCGTGCGTCCAACGATGCACGACGGACGCAATCGCGCGCGCGCGCGCGCGCTCGTGCATACACACGCGTGTGCGACAGCGTGCAAGGGCATACGCACGCATACTCTGCGTATCCGCGCGAGGCGCAGCCAGTGAAAGTCGAGACTTAGCGCGCGGCTTTTGCGCAACGAGATCGCTGTTGTCTCCATCGGATACTGGTTCGACTTTAAAAGGCTCGATCACTGAAAGGCAGAGACATTCGGCGTGACTGGACGTTCACGTCATACCTTGCTTCCAAGAACGAGACACGGAGGAAGTTCGCGCTTGCTAAGCATCTCGTAATTTCGATTGAAAAATATAATGAGAAGAGATGCTAGAGATTGTTTTAACAAGCTGGATCGATGTCTATTTTTGTCTTAATTTTTTTACATAAAATGCAAATCTATACTGTTTTGTTATTAATTAATGCTATGTTTAGTAAAGAGATCACAATAAAATTAACAGAATTAAAAAGTAAAAAAGAAATATCTAGAAATCTTTGCAACTAAACGTCAATATTTCTTGTAACATTATGTAACGCACATAAGCATGTTTAATTTCTATTCGCACAAAGTGAGACATAGTTTTATGCATATTTAGATGTGGAGTGAATCGTTTTAGAAGTAAAAGGATAAACACCTATTCTGCTTTTTCAAATGATTTCATAATGCTTTAATTATATTCTTGTTTAACCTAGACATTTTTTAAATACAATACTTTTATACTTTCTTACTTTTATATTCATATTTATTTTCATTTTTATATTTTTTCCGCTATATTTAAACGTGGATCTGTCAAAGTATCCTGTCTATGAACAAAATTTTTAGACTCTTAAAACGTTTATAAAATGCAAGCAAACGAATAATAATACTAATAATAAATATTACTGACTTTCGAATTGTAGCGACAACCATGTGTTTTTTTTTAATTTTGTATATTTTCTTTATTACGCTGTTATTTTAAAAAATCACAACGATTTTCTCTCCAAAATACGTGATGTTTTCATAAAAGAAAAAAAAAAGAAAAATTGCAATAATATCGAGGTCGAGGTTGTGAAATGATTACGTCTCTTTTGCTTTTTTCGTCGCTTTGTTTCTCTGATGTCATTTCGCATCGTTGCTATCGTGTGTCTGCCATAATATACGAGTCCTTCCATCTATCTTCGAAAAGAGATTCTTGCTAGCGAATATCAAACATAAATCTGTCATCCCTTTTTCTCTTTTTTTTCCTGTTCTCTTCTTTCATCTCTACGCGTTTCCGTTTTTGTAGTACAAGGTATCCGACGTGATGGAACGCACCTCTCCTTTCCATTCCGTGCGGAATTGTCGCCGCCCCGATGATACTTTTATGTAATAGTTCCGCGGAAAAGTATAAGTCACCCTGCTGCAGCACGACATCCGTGAGTAATCCCGTCAGCGACGTATTTACAAGCACATGAGAAAAGTTTTGTCATCGTTTTCTAGCAGAAATAAACTCGAACAATACGTAGACCTTCAATTATTTAAATAGCTCTTGAGAATTTTTTATTTTAAGAGGAAACACGATGATTAATCACGCACGCGTGATTTACTTCACTCAAAAACGTGATCTTGCAGTTATAGCGAAAATTATTTAAGTAGCTAAAAATCAATTATTAAAGTTATTTTAGTACGAAAAAATAGCTAAAATAAACAAATTTCTAGCAAGTACTACGATATTGGATATACATTGCATCTAATCATATAGATGATAGAGATAGAATTTAGATTTATAAATAAATATATAAATTCTATGCGTATATGATACATAATAATAATTTTCTATCAAATACAAAAACAGCAATAATTCTAGCTGAAGCAGCAAAATATTTTTTTTGCGTGTTGGATGCAAATTGTCGAGGGAATCAATTTTGACAGTTTCATGCTTTTAAATTGATTATTGTATTTCTTATCTCAGCGTTTATCACAAGCATATGTATGATTATAATTAGTTAAAAATTTTTTAAAGAAAAGCTCTTATTGTTTACTTCTAAAAGATGCATTATGTTATTTTAAAATAGTAGTATTTCGCTCGACTGATTAGTTTGAGAAAGTTTCTCCACATTTACATAAATGCATTTATAGAGAAAGTCTCCTTAAATGAAATATTTGTAGTGAATACTTGTTAAGTTAATTCGCATTTCTTTTTTCTGCTTTTAATAATATTTTTTTAAATTTATCTCCTCTCGATTTTTTTTCGCACAAACTTTAGATAATTATATATTATATGAATAATAAAATTATAAATTTTTTATCGAGATACTTTAATAGAAAAATTGATTTTTACATAACATCTTTCAGAACATGTTTTATATAATACACAGTAGTTTTTGTATTATATAAATATAATTTCTTGTTACTTAAAATGAAATAGAAAAGAGATCGAAGGAGAAAGCGAGAAACAATTTTTTAAACATACAATTTTACAGAAATCTTTTTTAGATTCAATTTTTATTTTTAGACCCTAATCAAAATTTGTAGCTGTTTTTAGTTAGCGAATGAGATGCATAAACTTTCAGAGGATACAGAATGTTTCTGTCCGAGAAAGAAATAACATATTTTCTTCTCACAGATTTTCTTGAAAATCTAGAATTTTACTTTTTTTAAATATAACAATAATAAAATTTGAAATAATAATAAAACAATAATAAAATTCTTAACCTTTATTTTTTAATGAGGTTTCACAATTTTATTTTAATAATTAAATCTGAAAGTTAAAATAAAAATTTACTTAAAATTTACTAAATTAAAATTACTACTTAAAATTCCAGGAATTTTATCATCTACGTTCGCATTTAATAAATTTAAATCTCTTTGTATCTCTAATATATATAAAAATCCACAATTACCGAGGATACTGTATATCGTTTTACATTCCGCCAATAAGGCGACGTGATGCAGGATCGCGTTGGCGTTATCGCGTGGGACATCTCTCGACCTGATCATCATCGAAAGCCTTCGTGAATTCTTTCGCTGATGATCCTCATTATATCGTGAATACGGGAACATACGCGCGGCTTATACGAATATATTCAAGCCATGTATTCACGCAAAGCCGTAATTGGTACAACGATCACGTGCCATTGCCCGAAACAATGTCGATGCATGGTGCTTGACTTAAAAAAAAATGGTCGACGAGAGTCAACAAATGCATATGTGTACGTGACTACGCGTGTGTGTTTATATGACAGGAAACGGCCAAGGTTGGCGACGTACATTCTGTCGTAGAATCGATTACATCAAACTGTCTCGGTAGAGTGGAGAAAAGTGGGCCGGATGATGTAAAAAGTTACATTAAATTTGACATTGTAACTTCGAAAGTTTACAAGCTTTTTTTTTTCTCGCCGTTTTCGTGACTGCACATTTTTAAAACAGTGCCAGCACGCTTTTTGCGCTAATGATAGTGAAGTAAAGTTTGATCTAGCCAGGATTTCTTAAGCGTCTCATCATAAATCTTTTGATATCTTTTAATCTTATTCTTCATCTATCTTCACCGAGCATCTTCTTCTTTTTACGTTTAGCTAGAGTGCATTCTCAACCGCAATTATAGAGTACAGCCTAATGAAACTCGCCCTGAAGGCCATAAAGAATGCTGGAGTGCACGTTAGAAACGCAGAATGCAATAACGATAAGGTGTTAACTGTGTATTTCCGATAATGTGTTTCGGTGGTAAAAAAAAAAATAAAAAAAAGATTGTACCTTTAATTACTCCGAATAAGGAAACTGCTAAAACACGCAACATAGCGATACGGTTCGACGGTTTTAGATCAATTAATCCTCGCGGCAGAAGTTCCTGCTCTGACTTATGATTCGTGATAGTTCATCCATAAAATAACAGACGAAGCTGAATTATTGGTGAAATTCCAAAACCGGACTGACTGCCCCCTCCAGATTACATTCAGACGAAGCGTAAAAACGGATCATCCCAGCTTCCTTCATTTCCTACGTGATCACGTGGAATGACCACAAATTCGCACACTTACGTCATGTAGGAACGTGTCGCGAGTTTGTACTCACCATGTATTATCAGCCGCCAATCGCGGTCTTTTACGCGCACGCGTCTCATCCGCGACGTCCGCATATTTCACGCTTCGTCGAGATGTAACTTTCACTGAATAATCTCCGTAATGTTACTTCGATTATTTCAGGACAGCGCGCCATGCGTCAACCTTAAATCTTACGAGGGACGAGGATCGGGACGGGATCTGCAATCAGTGAGCGGCTAAAAACGTTGAAGGTACGTCTGGATATCTCGATTAAGTTACTTCGATTCGTAGATAATTAATTTTTAAGTACATTTAAGTTGCTTGAAGGAATTTTAAAAATTCATAAAGGAATTTTAATGTCTGAAACCGATGTCTCGAATAATCTCCCGGAGTAAATTACAATCAACCTCAAGGAATTTAAAAGAGACGCTGAATCTCAAGATGTCAAGGTGTAAATGTTGAAAGCAAACTTTTTAGTAAGAGCGGAACGAAGAGCGACTTTCAGTCGGCAGTCTCGCGTCTGCCTGCGCGACTTACTCAGGCTCAAAATACAATATATAAATTCTCTATAAATTTATTCGCGCTATAATCTGTAGATATTTTATTTCTGTAGTATAATGATATTTAAATAGCTGCAGGAATCCGAGATAATCACCGTTACGGCGTGGCTAACGGGCTGTCATCGTGTTCGTTCTTGGGACGCGTTCTCGGGCTCCGGCAAAACATCCGTCGCGTTTCATAGAAAATTCGCGTTCCAGGACTTCCAGGATAAACAACGATACCGCGGCGCGGCGGTCAGTGTAACCGGGTATTTTGTTACCATGTACCACCGCGCGAGTGTAAAACGGCTAAGGCTAACGGTGTAGCCGGTCCGGCAGCGCATCGAAGCGTGCCCGAGACTCTCCTTCGTGGTCCTGCATCACGGTTTGCCGCAGTCATCGTTAGAGAGTGCGAGAGTGGGATCCGACGAGGAGGAAAAGACATGGAACGACCACGGGACGTTTCCCTATAACGATTTTTCTCGCGCCTTTTCCCCGCCCCCGCTCCTCGTTTCCGCCGACGCACAATATGCGCAAAAATAATGAACGCACCAGCCAGGATATCTTTTTATCGAAGAAATTAATTCGGTCTTGGGGAATTACATCGACACGGCGTGCGGAAAGTTAAGCCTACACATCTACATAATTCACTAACCGCAAAACGTAACTCGCAACACGCAGAACGATGTACGTTATTCTAAACAATAACGGTGTTTATATAATTCTCACTGTGTTAGTGTTGATATTAATGTAATGTATCGATATGATGTGGATTTAACGTCATGGGTTTTATATTCGTAACTCATGTTGATATAAACATCAGAGGTATATAATGAAATCCATATCATGTTTGATGTTAATGTTAATTAACACCAGCACAAAGTGGAGTTATAGATACCGCATGGCGATTAAATTCACACCGATATTTTTTAGAATGTATTATGTAAAATATACACGCAGATAAAAACTGCACGTAATGAATAAATTGCAACAGCGGTGACATTATAAAGCGTTAATATTTTAATTTTGGGTTGATATTTTAAAATCGGGTTAGAGAAATTCTTACTATGCGTCTGATATTTTCCATATTACAGAAATTTATAAAAAGGATTCTGAGAAAATATAAAATTCATTCCGGCTACTTTTTCCTGTTCTGTCATTGATCAATGCAGTCACCGTAGCGTAAAAGTTAACGTCACAGTCCAGTCGAATCTGTATGTGGATTCGCAAAATACAAATCTTCATTTTGCGTTTACGAATTATATTTCGTGAATTATAAAGGTAACTTTTGATTTAGCGACTCTCGCGTCTCTCGCGTGTTAAAAGGATTCCATTTTGCAATCGCATGACGCATTAATGTGCGGCGTTATAATAGCAAGTGAACTATGGAGTTATTATCCAGTTAAATCGACAATTTAGCTTATTGTTGAGCGGCATAATGCCGCTGGAAAATTTCTTACGGCTTTTTTTTTTTCCACCGGACACGGTAGTCGACCGCATGAGAAAACGTCGAGATTGCGCCAGCGGAAGACCGGATATCAATCGCATCTTTTTTAATGGTCTCGCCGCTGAGCGGATAATGGCTGTGCCAAACGTATCTCAACATCTCACTGTGACGTGAAAGGGTTGAGGCTGATGGATAAAACACGATAGAGTCGCAATAAAATCCCGCACGTTACATCGGAATGCAAGCGAGTTGTTGCAGAAAGGGCATGACTCAACTTTTCTACGAAAATAAGTTCTATCAGAGGGGAACGCTGTACCGTTAGGGTAGCCTCGAGTCGCTTAAGACAAGGCAAGGCTCCTCTACGCAATTTCATTCTTAATTATTTTTGATCTGAAAGCGACGTAAACAGTCTCAGAGTATCTTTTGCTCTTGAAAAATTTATTTCTCATGATATAATAATTATCGTATATCAGCATTGATTGCATAATTAATAATAATTAAAAATGATCACGTCTTCTCGCACAACGATTATATAAATCTCACTTGATTACTTCTATTAAAATTTTATTTTTTTGAATGCGTCTTTGTTTCAATATATTATGCTAAAAAGAGTAAAAATAAAAAATAAAAGAGATAAAAGTAGAAAGGTTTTCTATCTCTATACCTTTGCAAATTTTATGATATTAGAATAAAAATAAAACTGAATAAAAATTAAACTGAAATATTTTTTCTATGGAGAATACTTTTAAGGAAAAATATGAAATTTTTTGTTCTCATTGCATCTGTTTTGTTTTCATTTTACTCTTAAACCGTGTGATACTTGTTGCGTGCTTGTTGTTCATATAATTTTTTTTGCAACGTGTAAAGATATAGATAATTTGTGTTCTTAGTTAGGTATTTATTCTTACATTCCCATAGAATTAAAGACATGATTGAAGCTTTAGTAATAGGGCTGTTATTTTCAATTTCGAGATGCCGTCGAAGACAAACGTTCGAGCAGGACGAGAATAATTAAGAATCATAAAATTATTTGCGTAATGAGCTTCTTAAAGCATCGCACGAATATATCTCATTTCTCAGTAGCTACGGGAGGTTGGGAAATGTAATATTACTGAAGGGACCATAATATGATTTAGCGCGCGCTTGCTATACGATTCTGCATTAAGGGTTTTTTTCTTTCTTTGACTTTTACACACACACACACACACACACACACACACACACACATACACAAACACAAATATATATATATATATATATATAAAACTCGTACGCGATATGTTAATGCAACATGCAAGACGGCACGGGCGGATAACATCGAAGTGATACATCGCCAATTAAATCGCACACTGTTATTTCCTATTAACTGTTCTTTTTTCATTTGCATAGCGCATCAATTAAATAATTAAGTAAGCGCGCGATCCGCTGCAGCACGTTCGGAGAAAGGAAATGCAGGAAGCAGGAAACGCTACAATTGCCATGGGATTCTTCTGTGATTTCTCGCGCGTTACTTTCCGCATGTTCACAATTGAAGACTCAGGTTCTCTCCGAATGACTAGGAAACTGTAAAGTCTTAACGAGCCTTAACAAACTGCTCTTCGAAAGCCTGCCATTTGTGATTTTACGAAACAATTCGAGCGATTATTATAATGTGTGTTGCCTAATAAGAATAATAAATACAAAAAAGATATATAGAAAAAAATTAAATAAACGTTTTCATCATAATTGTTGAACATTTCACACTTGATATCTTAATAAATTAAGATTTATTGAAGATATTCCGAAGACTTTCTTGGTAATTAGATTTTTTCCAAAAATATATCAATTTTTTGCTTCTTTTTCAAATATATTAAGAATATTTATTCAGAAGGAATATCTTATCTATTCATATAAAATTATTAATTTTTAATTAATTATATTAAATTACAAAAGCTGAAATGTTTTTTTGAATTTGTAAATCTTTTCTTGAATCTTTAAATTTATTGAATAATTCATCAATAGAAATAAGAGTCAATAAGTATGACCTATCTTGAGATGGTCTATCTTGAGATGGGTATCTTTTGTTATTCTTTTTCTTAATTTATTATAAATATTTAACGCTCATTATGCGTTTCGAAATATTTTGTTAATCGCTTTCGATTTCGATATAATTTATGTATAGCACATCCATCGTTAATTAATGTAACTATCTCTATCGAACGCGAATCTGACACTAATAAATGGACCATTCTACCCCGTTATTTTAATCGATTACTCTTAAATTATGCACCGCAATTTAAGCCTATAGCAAGTTTTATTTTGAGAACAAGGATGAGTATCGGCATAAATAATCCGAATCTATTTTTACTAACGATTGATAGCTAGTTCGACATTTAAGCTGTTCTGCATATTTATAACACGATAATGCTCCTTCGAACTACGTCTTTCACTTTCACATTGTTTTATCCTTTTTTACACAAGGTGTTTCACAATCATACGATATTCTATTCATCATACGATATTCTAATAGCATATTTAATAAATTAAGAATTAAAGATAAAGATTTCAATATGAAAATACCAAGATGTTGTCATTATATGTTGTGCTCGAATTATAAACAAATATTAAGTTAATTATAATAATATTATCATGTAGAGAGTTTATACTTTCAATGCTTCGTATCTCACATTTCAATTCGTTTCAAATAATAAGATAGGGGAAGGTTGGTAACTGATTGCGACTGATATTGGACGAAGTTTGTTTAAAATTTTAGACGCGTATTGCAGTATTTATTAAACCGCTAGCACTTGCCAAGTCCATTTCCACGATGAGAATCGGAGTTTCTTCATATCGAGGAATGAAGTAGAACATGGAAGAATTTAAATAAAGATTTTAAATTCTAAAATATTGTATTTTAGCTGTTCTATTTTTATTTTTTTTTCTCTTTTTCTTTGTTTTTCATTATTTATCCATATTGTAAACAAACAAATTTAATTCAAATACCTTTGATAAATTATCCAAATATCGTTATTAATATATTATGCCTTTATGGGTATTCAACAATATTTCCTGAAAAAAATCTTGTGCAATATGCTTAGCAAAAAAGGATGATAATATTTTTATCGATAGAAAATTATTTTATCTTGTTACCATTTTTTATCAAGTTTATTGAATTTATGAAATATTTCCTATTTCATACCATAAATTTCAGAATTAAATGTAGTGTTAATCTATATCTGTTTTACAATACATCTATTAAAAAAAGTAATGAATGTATTATGGAAGT